CATTCTTTGGGATTGCCTTTCTTAGGGATTGGAATGAAAACGGATCTTTTCCAGTCCTGTGGCCACTGCTAAGTTTTCCAAATTTGCTGGCATATGGAATGCAGCACTTTCACAGCATCATCTTTCAGGATTTGAAACAGCTCAATTGGAATTCCGTCACATCCACTAGCTTTGTTCGTAGTGATGCTTTCTAAGGCCCACCTGATTTCACATTCCAGGATGTCTGGCTCTAGGTGAGTGATCACACCATCGTGATTATCTGGGTCATGAAGATATTTCTTGTACAGTTCTTCTGTGTATTCTTGCCACCTCTCCTTAATATCTTCTGCTTCTGTTAGGTCCATAGCATTTCTGTCCTTTATTGAACCCATCTTTGCCTGAAATATTCCCTTGGTATCTCTAATTTTCTTGAAGAGATCTCTAGTCTTTCCCATTCTGTTGTTTTCCTCTATTTCTTTGCATTGATCGCTGAGGAAGGCTTTCTTATCTCTCCTTGCTATTCTTTGGAACTCTGCATTCACATGGGAATATCTTTCCTTTTCTCCTTTGCTTTTCACTTCTCTTCTTTTGGCAGCTATTTGTAAGGCCTCCTCAGACAACCATCTTGCCCTTTTGCATTTCTTTTCCATGGGGATGGTCTTGATCCCTGTCTCCTGTACAATGTCACAAACCTCCATCCATAATTCATCAGGCTCTCTGTCTATCAGATCTAGTCCCTTAAATCTAATTCTCACTTCCACTGTGTAGTCATAAGGGATTTGATTTAGGTCATACCTGAATGGTCTAGTGGTTTTCCCCACTTTCTTCAGTTTAAGTCTGAATTTGGCAATAAGGAGTTCATGATCTGAGCCACAGTCAGCTACTGGTCTTGTTTTTGCTGACTGTATAGAGCTTCTCCATCTTTGGCTGCAAAGAATATAATCAATCTGATTTCAGTGTCGACCATCTGGTGATGTCCCTGTGTAGAGTCTTCTCTTGTGTTGTTGGAAGAGGGTGTTTGCTATGACCAGTGCGTTCTCTTGGTAAAACTCTATTAGCCTTTGTCCTGCTTCATTCCGTACTCCAAGGCCAAATTTGCCTGTTACTCCAGGTGTTTCTTGACTTCCTACTTTTGCATTCCAGTCCCCTGTAATGAAAAGGACATTTTTTGGGGGGTGTTAGTTGTAAAAGGTCTTGTAGGTCTTCATAGAACCATTTAACTTCAGCTTCTTCAGTGTTACTAGTTGGGGCATAGGCTTGGATTACCGTGATATTGAATGGTTTGCCTTCGAAACGAAGAGATCATTCTGTCGTTTTTGAGACTGAATCCAAGTACTGCATTTCAGACTCTTTTGTTGACTATGATGGCAACTCCATTTCTTCTAAGGGATTTCTGCCCACAGTAGTAGATATAATGGTCATCTGAGTTAAATTCACCCATTCCATTCCATTTTAGTTCACTGATTCCTAGGATGTCAACATTCACTCTTGCCATCTCCTGTTTGACCACTTCCAATTTGCCTTGATTCATGGACCTAACATTCCAGGTTCCTATGCAATATTGCTCTTTACAGCATTGGACCTTGCTTCTATCACCAGTCCCATCCACAACTGGGTACTGTTTTTGCTTTGGCTCCATCCCTTCATTCTTTCTGGAGTTATTTCTCCACTGATCTCCAGTAGCCTATTGGACACCTACCGACCTGGGGAGTTCTTCTTTCAGTATCCTATCATTTTGCCTTCTCATACTGTTCATGGGGTTCTCAAGGCAAGAATACTGAAGTGGTTTGCCATTCCCTTCTCCTGTGGACCACGTTCTGTCAGACCTCTCCACCATGCCCCGACCATCTTGGGTGGCTCCACACGACATGGCTTAGTTTCACTGAGTTAGACAAGACTGTGGCCCTGTGATCAGATTGGCTACTTTTCTGTGATTATGGTTTTGGTGTGTCTGCCCTCTGATGCCCTTTAGCAACACCTACTGTCTTACTTGGGTTTCTCTTACCTCGGAAGTGGGGTATCTCTTCACGGCTGCTCCAGCAAAGCGCAGCCGCTGCTCCTTACCTTGGCGGAGGGGTATCTTCTCACGGCCGCCCCTCCTGACCTTGAACTGGAGTAGCTCCTCTCAGCCCTCCTGCCGTTATTATAGATAGATCTTCTTATTTTCATCACTGAGACAAAAAATGTGCTGTGCTGTTTCTTAGTTGCTCAGTTGTATAGAAAGAACATACCTCAACATAATAAAAGCTATATATGACAAACCCACAGCAAACATTATCCTCAATGGTGAAAAATTGAAAGCATTTCCCCTAAAATCAGGAAGAAGACAAGGGTGCCCACTCTCACCATTACTATTCAACATAGTTTTGGAAGTTTTGGCCACAGCAATCAGAGCAGAAAAACAAATAAAAGGATCCAGATAGGAAAAGAAGAAATGAAACTCTCACTGTTTGCAGATGGCATGATCCTCTACATAGAAAACCCTAAAGACTCTACCAGAAAATTACTAGAGCTAATCAATGAATATAGTAAAGTTGCAGGATATAAAATTAACACACAGTTGTTATTCTTTGCAACCGCATGGACTAAAGCCTATCAGGCTCCTCTGTCCATGGGGATTCTCCAGGCAAGAATACTGGAGTAGGTTGCCATGCCCTCCTCCAGGGGAGACGAAAGATATAAGTTAATAAATATTTATTGGGCATCTGAATCCCAGGGCTTTGTGTTAAATGCAACAGGTATCACAGTGATGGAGCTAAAGGCCCAGAGCTCAGTTGGCGAGGTAAGAAATATGCAGTGTTATCAGCACATGGAACCATGTTTACACAAAGTGATAACTTATATCAGTTGTTAGTTTGGGAAATCTGGTGAAAGCTAGACTGGTGGAAGTCTGGCTTTGGTCAGAAGACTATAAGCAGTCTTCCACCAGTTATAGTGGTGGAAGACTATAGTTATAGTCCAGTGGAAGCTATAATTCATGGGAACAATGGGCTCTACTAATTGAGAGCTGTGGAGTTGATGGGGTTGTAAGTAGAAACCATGAAATAAAGTTTCTCTGAATAAAAATCTATTTTAATAAAAATATTTAATAAAATAACATTTTTAAAAAATAAACAAAATTTAAAGGTCTATTTAACAAAAATCTACTTTATATATATATTTTTAAAATCTCCAGAAAAGCTCCTTCTATACAAGGAACATTTTATTCCAAGGCTCTGGGCATTGTCAGTGAACTCTTAACTGAAAAGCTTTGTAAATGGGATAATTTTAGGTATTTTGACTTTCTAGTGTTAAGCTACAATCAGTTTTTTTTCCTTATTTGTATTAATCTGCATCCAAATTAAATGTAGGAGCACTGAATCTTGGGTTTAATCACTGCAGAAAAGAGTTGGGACATGAATTCATGAATTCTGAATTATAAATCAAAATTTAACTTATTCAGTAATCACATTAGTGTCAACCCAAGATGGTCTATGATTCATAATAGATTGTAGTTTTAATAACCTGCTGCGTTTATCTAACCTCACTTGCCATAAGCCAAAGCACAACAAACTGCACGCTGATAGCAGCAGAACCACTTGCTGGTCTCACTATCTGTAATGTATCTTGGTGAAAGAAGTGAAAGTGTTAGCCACTCAGTCGTGTCCAACTCTTTGTAACCCCATAGACTGTAGCCAGCCAGCCTCCTCTGTCCACGGAATTCTCCCGGCAGGAATACTGGAGTGGGTAGCCATTCCTTTCCCAGGGGATCTTCTGGACCCAGGGATCGAACCCAGGTCTCCTGTATTGCAGGCAGATTCTTTACAGTCTGAGCCCCCAGGGAAGCCCAAGAATTCCATATAAACCAGTTCCAAAGTCAGTCACCACTTGTTCTGAATATCACTTTCCACCTCATCTACTACCACACGGGTAACGCCACTTCAGCCAAATAAAATAACCTGGTAATACCTCTATATAACCACAGTTCCTGGCAATCATGACCAGCTTCTGTGGGTCCTTCCACTCGCATGGTCCGTGAAGTGACTGAAGTGAAAGCCTTCAGTCGTGTCCGACTCTTTGCGGCCCCATGGACTATAGAATCCATGGGATTCTCCAGGCCAGGATACTGGAATGGGTAGCCTTTCCCTTCTCCAGGGGATCTTCAAAACCCAGGGACCAAACCCAGGTCTCCCGCACTCCAGGCAGATTCCTTACTATCCCACATTACAGGCAAATTCTTCACCAACTGAGCTATCAGGGAAGCCCTATAGCTTCACAAATCTACTTTCTGTCAATTCTTTAATGCCCAATTCTTTTCAGCTTAATGTCATCACATCACTGTAAGAGACAATCACACTTGGCTCTGAATGCACAGAGTATTTTTTTTCTGTCTTTGTGGTATTACTCCTTTGTCTATTACAGTAACACATTTGGTTCCACAATGAGTTGTTTATCATCTTGGATAAATATGTATATTCCCATATATACCTTACCCTCCAGAAAGCTGTCTCTCTAGGGTAGGGATTATTATGTGGAACTTTATATTCAAGTAAGCAAATGAGTATCTCCTGTTATCTAGATGAATAGTTAGTAGTTGAATTTAATTGATTAGTATTTCTATTCCTAATATATATCATGATCTAGAAAATGTTGCAAGGGAATCATTGTCCACTTTCTACTGGAAAACTTATGTTCCAGATGCTGTAGTAAACATTCAAATATATATAAGATGCCATTCATTTCTGTTAATAGCTAATCACACAAAAGAGCTTAGATGGGTCAATATCAACACCAGAAAAATTTGCATTTGGGGTCACAAAGAGTCAGACACAACTGAGAGACTGAACTGAACTGAGCTGAAAATTTATGTTGCTTGCCTTACTATTGAATTACAATACTGCTGTTACAGCAAATGAACAATGAATGAAAGCATGAGGAGTAGTGTCCTCACCCTGTAATGTACTTTCTAGAGGGACTCCAAAAATGATTCGTGGATCTTTGCCCTGGCCGTGCTCCTGAGCAGTACCTTTATCTACAACAGCATGAACACCATCAACCACCAGGCCCTGGAGAAGCTGCAGTATCCTTCCAGAGCTGAACTAGCACATTTCATTGAGTTTATGGGAATAGCAACTGACACCATTTCTCCTTTTCCACGACACCATTCTGTTGACTGATGAGATGGTAAAATGGGGCAAAAGGGAATATTTGTAAAACTTGTTTTGGGGTAGGAGCTGGAAATTTTGTTGGAGAGTGCTTCTTTTTCCTTAGCTAAGATCCCAGCTATGTGACTGAATTAACGGAGCTGATCAGAATCAAATCATCTCCCATCTCCGATGATGTAGAGGACTCAGTCGAGTTTGTGAGATTCTTCCCGGACTTTGTCTGGGCTGTGCGGGATTTCATGCTGGAGCTGGAGTTAGATGGAAACCCCACCACTGAAGATGAGTACCTGGAGAATGCCTTGAAGTTGATTCCAGGTATCAGAGAAGGGGCAAGGTGGTAGGAAGCTCAGTAGGAAGTGGGATCAAGAGCCCTGACATTCAGCACTTGATGTCAATCTTAATTTGCGGTTGGGATGAGGCCATGCTAATGGTGCCTGGTGAATGACTGGTGGGTGGCTTCAGTCATTATTGTTACTGGAAAAACTTCAGAGACCAGAGCTTAAGCTCACTGAGGAAATTTAGAATCTAGTATTAAACAAACGACTTTAGAAAAATCATGAAGAAAAAGTCTCACATACTGTATTACATATTAAGTGCTTCTTCTTTCCTCTTTTAGAAAAATAACCCATCAAATTGAAATTGGTAGATGTAGAATCATAAGGTAAATAAAAGGATTAATTTGTGAAATATTGATACATTTCACAGAGTGTTTTTTTATTACCCATATAGATATATTCTTAATAGATAAGCTATTTATACTCTAATTCATTCAAAAGAAATGCATTGCTACATCCTTTCAGTAAGACTATCAGATCTTCATAACATCATACTCTTCATTCTAGAGCCTTACACCATATGTACGTGCATGCTCGTGTGTTCATTTGCTCAGTCATGTTTGACTCTTTTTGACTCTGTGGACTGTAGCCTGCCAGGCTCCTCTGTACTTGAGATTTTCCGGGCAAGAATACTGGAGTGGGTTGCCATTTCCTCCTCTGGGGATCTCCCCTACCCAGGGATTGAACTCACATCTCATTTGTCTCCTGCATTGGCAGGTGGATTCTTTATGATTGAGCCACCTATAACCCCTCTTATGTGGTATATATCATATTCATATGCTAGTTGGTTACTCAGATTATATTTAGCAGAGAGAATAATAGGTGGTACCTAGAAGTGATATTGATTTTCTTTGTTTAATCATATATTTACACTTCCAAAAATTTTTATTGAACTGATGGTATATGCCCCAAATCTCTCCGTATGATACTGTCACATACAATAGAAAGTGTTGCAGAGGACTGATAGAGTGTCCTCATTTCCTTTAGGCAAATCTAACCATAAGATTATGTATGCTACAGTAATCTCAAAACATATTTATAGAATGTGCATTTTTACTCTATTTTATAAATCTTTTCTTTCCTGTGCATCATTTGTTCCCAATGTGATTTCTTTCCCAGATATATTGTGAATATCCTTATTTCCACTGTTACTTTTCATGTCTGAAATAGAAGTTGTAACATCAGAATAGTGTTTTTGGCAGTTATTTGGATTGGTTTATCTTTCAGGAAGCACCTAATAAGTAATTGATCCATTGCACACTATGCAATGGCTGAGGAAAACAAAAGTTTCTTCAGTTGGTATAAACAGTTCTTTTTCCTCCCCAGCAGTATTTCCTTCAGTCTTGGCTCAATATAAAAATAGAGTTTCTATGGTAGCTTAGTGTAAAATTGATTTTCAAATAGAAAAGATTTACAGGCATAGGAATTACAATGATTGCATAAATTCCTGGAAATCAAAGTCCTCAGCCCCCTTACCCAGAGTCTGTCTCTTCTTTGATTGTTCTTTTCTGCTTTTGCAGATGAGAATCCCCAAATTCAAAATTCCAACTTACCCAGAGAGTGTATCAGGAAGTTTTTTCCCAAACGGAAGTGTTTCGTCTTTGACCGCCCTGCAAGTAACAGAAAACAATTACTCCATCTTGAGGAAATACCAGAGAACCAACTGGATGGGAATTTTCAGAAGCAATCAAAAGTTTTCTGCTCATATATCTATACCCATGCAAAGGCCAAGAGCTTAAAAGAGGGAATCACTGTCACCGGGAAAAGTGAGCCTCCTTTGCTATGGCATGTCTCTCTGTGATTCAGTGTGGGTGAGGAATGTGTGGTGGAGTTGAAGTTGTAAGTGTACTCTGGGATTGTCAATAATGGTGCTTTCTTCTTTTTTTCTTCATTAATTGTGTTCTCTATATAATTTGGAAAAATCAGATATTCATCCCCCACATAGAAATGCATGTTTCTTCATTTAAATATCCTTGTATGAGGCTTTTTTGAAGCATACCAAGTCTCATGAAACTATTGGGTTGGCCAGAATGTTCTTTCAGGTTTTTCAGTAAGATATTATGGAAAAACCCAAACAAACATTTTGGTCAACCCAATATTACACTAAAGATAGTTTAAGGATAGACATATTCATGGTAATGAACCACTGAGTGGATAAGTGTTTCTAGTGAGGATATACAAGGTATTCTGTGAATTTACATGAATCAATAATAAGTAGTAAGTCATGAATCCATGTAAACTCATTGAGAGTCTGAGAAACAAGTGTAAATATAATCTTATGTGGTGCTGGCTTCATGCCCATGTCAGTGGGACAGTCACATAATGCCCTGTGCTGAGATGTGCCTGCTTGCTTTAAAGTTTGTATCATGGTCTGGAAATTCTTGATGATATTTTTACATGTGGCACTACATTTTCATTTGGAAATAGTGCTCACAAAATATGCAATTTACTCACATATATATAAGTTCTTTGTATTTTATTACAATGGGAAAAGTGTTACAGAAGAACTTTGAACATATTGTTTGAAATAATTCAGTGAATATTGTATTGTGATGAACTGAGAACTATAAAATAGAGTGCATAGGAGACACAGTGATGTTACTATAAGAAGTTATAGAAGGTGGAGGATACGATGATGAGGATAAGGATGAAGATGAGGAGAAGAAAAAAAACCTCAAATTCAATAAAACTTTAATAGTTTTAAGCGTACTGATCTAAAGTTCATAAAACGAGGGAGAATGTTCTGTTTCTTTTCTTTTTTTTTTTTCATTTATGTTTATTAGTTGGAGGCTAATTACTTGACAATGTTGTAGTGGGTTTTGTCATACATTGAAATGAATGACATGGATTTACATGTGTTCCCCATCCCAATCCCCCCTCCCACCTTCCTCTCTACCTAATCCCTCTGAGTCTTCCCAGTACACCAGGCCCGAGCACTTGTCTCATGCATCCAACCTGGGCTGGTGATCTGTTTCACCCTAGATAATATACATGTTTCGATGCTGTTCTCTTGAAACATCCCACCCTCGCCTTCTCCCACAGAGTCCAAAAGTCTGTTCTGTACATCTGTGTCTCTTTTTCTGTTTTGCATATAGGGTTATCATTACCATCTTTTTAAATTCCATATATATGTGTTAGTATGCTGTAATGTTCTTTATCTTTCTGTTTCTTTTCAAAATACACTGTGTCATTCAGGGCTGGGGACTCTGGTGGAGGCCTACGTAAATGCCATCAACAGTGGATCAGTTCCTTGTCTGGAGAACGCGTTGACAATTCTGGCCCCACGTGAGAACTCCCCACGTGGAGAAGGCAGCTGACCACTACAGTGAGCAGATGACCAAGCGACTGAGCCTCCCCACAGAGACGCTCCAGGAGCTGCTGGAGGTGCACGCAGCTTGTGAGAAGGAAGCCATTGCAGTCTTCATGGAGCACTCCCTCAAGGATGAAAAGAAGGATTTCCAGAAGAAACTTCTGGTAACGTAACCTAGAATATAGCCTTCCTGATACCTTTTCTTCTAGAAATGTACTTAGGCTCCTTCTTTTCACTCGTGGTTCACAAGCTCCTCATTTATAAAAGGAGTTTGGATTCATGTGAAAGACAGGACTCTACAGGCTATGTTCCATCCTTTGTTCTAAAAACTGGCCTCTTTATTTTCTACTGTAAACAAATTACCCTATACTTAGCTGTTTAAAAAAACACACATTTATTAACTCAAAATTCTTCAGGTTAGATCCCAGGTCAGGGTGTACAGGTGATATACTCTGTGTACAACAAGATGGAGGTGGGGAGAAGGCTCAAAGGGGCTTAGTAATACTCCCAAGAATAAACAGCAAACAGTTTGGCATAGGATAAGAAGAATTTGATTTGAGCCAAATGAGGACTAGTGCCCTGAAGATACACATACAAGAAGCATTTGAATTGTGTTCCACTGGACTCCAAAATGGGGGCGGGATTGGGGGTGGTGGTGTTGCAAGACCCTCAATATAGGCAAAACCCACAAAATTACCTGTATTATTGGTTAAGAATTAACAAAGTTAGAAAGAAGTTGGAGAGAAGCAAGAGTGCTTGTTAAAGAAGGATTGTTTGGAGTCTGAAACCATTGCCTATTTGCAATGGGATCTTTGAGACCATAAGTTTACAACTTCCAGTTGCTATTATAGCAGACACTGTTTTGGGAATGGATAGTGGCATCCTTGAGTATGATAAAGTTAAGAAGACTGAAGTTCTCAGTGATGCAGAAACATGTCTGAAACCACATCTACAGTGGCCACCAAGCTGTTTTGAATTCCTACACAAGTTATTCCATTTTGATTTTTAAATGTATTTCTTTAATGATTAAAGCAGATGTAAAATGTAAGCATGTAAATCATGCTTGATAGGCCACAAACAGGTTATTGTATTTAGCATAAAGTTGAATTTAAACCGTGTATAAGCCACACTGTCCTCCCCCTGTGTAAATATGTGAATATATCTTTCTTCAGCACTCATATTGGCTCTGAAAAACCACCCTGCCCCATCATTTAGCCAGCAATGGTGCCCTTTATTCTTCTTTTGTTGCTCATCTCTCTGATGACCTTTTCAGCCACCAAAAAAAAAAAAAAAAAAAGAATAGATGTGAAAGACTTATGTGATTCAGTAATGTCCACTAGGGTCATCTCTACTTTTTAAAGTATCCTATGCTATATAACATAACCTAAATGCTAATAAGTTTTGCCAAGAGAACACACTGGTCATAGCAAACACCCTCTTCCAACAACACAAGAGAAGGCTCTACACAGGGACATCACCAGATGGTCGACACCAAAATCAGATTGATTATATTCTTTGCAGCCAAAGATGGAGAAGCTCTATACAGTCAGCAAAAACAAGACCAGGAGCTGACTGTGGCTCAGATCATGAAGTACTTATTGCCAAATTCAGACATAAATTGAAGAAAGTGGGGGAAACTACTAAACCATTCAGTTCAGTTCAGTTCAGTTCAGTGACTCAGTTGTGTCCGACTCTT